AGTTCTTTACCTGCATCATATCACAAAAATCCTCATAATAACCCAGATGTAGATACTGTTATCTCCATTTCCTATAAGAAGGAATGAAGGCTCATGTAAATGATCTTTAAAATGACTGTGAGGAGGGCAGCACGTTTCTAATCAATCCCACTTTGTAAAGAAAACTGACCCACAGTTCTCAAAAGACCTGCTCACTTCCACGAAGATAGTGATTAGCAGAGCCAGATTAGAGCATACTCTGACTTTTACATTAGCACTGCTTTCACTGTCCCACATTGCCTCTGAAATAAGGCTAACATTGCTTTTTTCAACAAATGTTTAATTCCAAATGTCCTAAATTGCTATTCCTAAATGAAATGTTAAAAAAAAAAGGAATCTATTTTTTTAAAAGAACAAAGATTTTCTGTTTTATCTACCCCCTAAAAGTAAAACATTGAAGGACTTTAAATCTGAAAATTTTGCTTAGTGGATGTTTGACAAAATTTCAAAATTTACATAAGGAAAAGTTGTTTCCCCACATCATTACTCACTGGTAAATACCAATTATCTTTCAAAAAAGTACCATCTGTCTCTTCCAACTAGAAATTGCATTATCTGATTTGTTCACTGTATCACCTAGAATTGTGCACATAATACATTTTCAATAAATACTGGCTCAGTTGACAACTGTAAATTCAAATAAAATCTATGTAATTCTCTGTGCTATGTTACAGTGTATGATGGAAAGGCATTAACTTGAGCCATATAATACTGCAGCTATTCAACTACTTTTTACCTACAAAAGGAGCAATTTCATATGGTTTTTAAAAAGCTTTCTAGAGGACAATAGTATGAAGCAAAAAAGCGATTCTGTGAAAGCCAAGACAGAAATGGAATGATTATAGTTATATGGAAGTTGTCAAAGGCTTCGGGTTCAATGCTGAGATTTTTCTCAAAAATCATCCATAACACTCCCATACATGTCAAAAATTAAGCTAGGCATTTTTAAAGGGGATCATTATTTACATTTCTTTCGTATTTTAAAATTACTCACATTTTTGTGTTTATTATACATATAGACACACACGTGTAAACATATAAAATGAAGGACATGGACTGTATTTCTCTTTATTAGCTAATTCTGATTTCATGTAAATGTTCATGTACCTAATTAGGCCCAATAATAACTAT